ATCTCTATCATCTATCTATCTCTATCTAATCTATCTATCTCTATCAATCTATCTAATCTATCTATCTCTATCAATCTATCTAATCTATCTATCTCTATCTCTATTTATTTCTCTCTATCTCTATCTATCTATCTATCATCTATCTAATCTCTATCTAATCTATCTATCATCTATCTCTCTATCTCTCTATCTATCTAATCTGGCATGACCAAACTCTTTGAACAAGGCAAACCTACAATATTTCAGTGGAAGGCCCCCCAAGGGACACCCAGCCTAGCCCCCTGTATTCTGCCCTGCAGGGAAGGCACCGTCAAAGCACCCCTGACAGATGGCCATTCAGCCTTTGCAGTAATAGTCATACTAATAGGAACAAGCCCAGGGGCCATCCAGCCCAGCCTCCCTTTATTCTGCCATGCAGGGGAGTCACCATCAAAGCACCACCGACAGATGGCCATTCAACCTTTGCAATAATAGTCATACTAATAGGAACAAGCGCAGGGGCCACCCAGCCCAGTCCCCTGTATTCTGCCATGCAGCGGAAGCACAATCAGAGCACCCCTGACAGATGGACATTCAGCCTTTGCAGTAATAGACTTGGGATTCCTGTGAAATGACCATTGGAACCTCTCGGATTACGCTTGTGGTTTACATGTTTAACTCCTAATGTATTGCTTTTAAATGTTTTCGTTGTTGTAATGTACTTTTAAATTCTATTTTTATATTTATTTAAGTGTACATTGTGTTTTAGGGCATCAAATTGTTGCCTATGTTGTAAAGCCGCCTTGAGTCCCCTCTGGGGTGAGAAAGGCGGGGCAGAAGTATCGTAAATACATAAAGAGTAGGAGTAACCCCAGTCCAGCCCCCTTTATTCAGGACTAGCCGTCCCCTGCCATGCGTTGCTGTGGCCCAGTCTGTGTATATGTGCTTTTTGTGTGTATATGTGTGTGTGTATGTATATATATATATATATCTGTGTATCTGTGTATATCTGTGCGTTTGCATATATATGCAGTATATTTATTTATTTATTTACTTACTTACTTACTTACAGCTTTTATATTCTGCCCTTCTCACCCCACAGGGGACTCAGGGCGGATTACAGTGTACACATATATGGCAAACATTCAGTGCCAATTTTCGACATACAAACATATACAGACATATACAGAGGACCAAGATCTATTGGAAGTCTCCAATGTCAAGACCTTGCGTCTAACGGCAACCAGACGCAGAGCCTTCACAGCAGTGGCGCCATCAGTCTGGAATCCTCTGCCACCTGAGGTTCGTGCCCTGCGGGACTTACCAGCTTTCCGCAGGGCATGGAAGACATACCTGTTTCGACAGGCTTTTAATGTTTGATACTGTTGTTTTTAAATTGTTTTAAATTGCTTTTAAACTTTGTTAGATTTTAGCTATTCTTGTAAGCCGCTCCGAGCCCCAGGGGAGTGGCCGCATAGAAGTTTAAATAATAAATAATAAATAAATAAAATAAATACAAAGAGGCTATTTAACTTTTTTCTGGCCACAAGGGGAGCTGTCGCTTTCATCGTCCATCTGCGACGCTGATGAAGCACTTCCGCATTCCCCGCATGCTT